TTCCGATCGGGAGTTAATCCGAAATTAAGTTGCAGGTAACTTTGGGAAGGTATATCTGACTGATGGAAAATCTCTGGACGTGGTGGGGATGGGAGACGTTGATATTGCACTCCCTAATAAGAGCAAATGAACATTACAAAAGGTCAGACACGTTCCTGAGTTGAGGAAAAACCTCATCTCTCTTGGGCAGCTCAATGAGGGTGGTCATTCAGTGGTGTTCTCAGATAGCACCTAGAAGGTTACCAAAAGAGCATTAGTAATGACTCGAGGTAAGAAAACTGACACACTATATATGACTACAGGTTTACTCAGATGTGGACACATGAGTCAGAGGCGCATTATGGGGAAGTAGAAGAAGCTCCATTTCTTGAAAAATGGCAGAGCGCCAAGAACAAGAAAACTAGACATTGTACAGACAAATGATGGAGAAACACAGAGTTATGAAGAAATCTTGTAAGATAAAAATTTGACTTGGGAGCTAGCAGAACTTCCACCAAGGAAGAAGACATTGCACAACAAGTGGGTGTACCGGTTGAAGATTGTGTTTGGTGGCAGTAAAAGGTACAAGGCTGAACTTGTTGAAAAGGGCTTTCAGTAGGAGCAGGGTGGGAGTGTAAGCAGATACAAGAGTAACCCAGAAAAGAGCTTGTTGGTAGGAGGCTACGTTGACGATGATATGTCAACTGAGGGTGTTATTCGTGAGAAGCTAAAGTTGTGCTCAACTTCAGATGGCCTTCTTGCATGAAGACAGGGGCTTCGAGTTGCAGAGGTGGAGGATATCATATTTGAGGAAAAGGTCGGTACAGCTAGTAGATGATGCGGCTAGTAGGTGATGCATTCAGTGTCTCAGTCTCCAAGTAGGAGAATTGTTGGGTAAAGTGGAGACCCGGTCCACCGAATTTAATCAGTTTTTTAATTAAGTATCTCACCTACTGCTCACTTACCACACCCACCTACCGCTCACCTACCACATCCCACCTACCGCTCACCTCCCTCTCACATACCGCTCACCTCCCTCTCACATACCGCTCATATGATTTCTATAAATAGTCTTTTGGTTTAAAAATTTTTTTTTGGAGGGGGTTTAGGGTAGTATTCAATAGATTGAGCCAATCAAACACTCATTTCTTGACGAGGATCGAGCCAAACACTTTGCATACAATCACAATATTTCATGATTTTTTTTTCTTTATTTTTGATCTTCCAACCAATCAAACGAAAAAAGATAGTGATGTGCATGTCAAGTGGCTCATAAATGGATATGTATATATGTCCACATTTAAATAATGATCTTCGTTTCAACATTTGGTTGATCATGAAGGATAGTTGTTGAGAGTTTGGCATGTCAGTTCGGCAAGTGAGACTGTCATGTCACTCTTGTAAGTGAGATTACAATGTGATCTATGTGTTCTTAGAAGGTGGGTTTTGTTGGGTAATGTGGAGACCCGGTCCATCGAATTTAATTAGTATCTTAATTAAGTATCACATATACCGCTCACATACCACACACACCTACCGCTCACCTACCACATCACATCAACCGCCCACCTACCTCAACCTCCCACCTACCGCTCTCATGGTTTCTATAAATAGTCTCTTTTGGTTTAAAGGATATACAAGCCAAGCCTCAAGCAAAGCAAAGCCAAGCTAAGCAAGGCCAAGCCTCAAGCCAAGCAAAGCCAAACTAAGCAAGGCCAAGTCAAGTCCTCTTGAGAGCTAAGAGAAAGAGATGAAGGGAGAGAGAGAGAGAGAGATTTTCTTGTAAACGTCGAGGCGGTCGATGGTGTAATTCCTCGAAGAAATAAAATCCTTTGCAGCTCCGTGGATGTAGGCAAATTTGTCGAACTACGTAAATTTGTTTGTCGCTCTAGTGTTTTTCTCCGTACAATTTTACTCGTTCCATTTTTTCGCTTTAT